TAAATCAACAGCAACGACACCCCCCCCCCGGCTCGCGCTGATAGAGAGAGCGAGGGAGAGAGAGTGAGAGAGAGTGAGAGAGAGCGAGAGAGAGAGAGAGCGAGAGAGAGAGCGTGAGAGAGAGTGAGAGAGAGAGTGAGAGAGAGTGAGAGAGCGAGAGTGAGAGTGAGAGAGCGTGAGAGAGAGTGAGAGAGAGTGAGAGCGAGGGAGAGAGAGCGAGAGAGAGTGAGAGAGAGCAAGAGAGAGTGAGAGAGAGTGAGAGATAGCGAGAGAGAGAGAGAGCGAGAGAGAGAGCGTGAGAGAGAGTGAGAGAGAGTGAGAGCGAGGGAGAGAGAGTGAGAGAGAGCGAGAGAGAGAGTGAGAGAGAGCGAGAGTGAGCGAGAGAGTGAGAGAGCGAGAGAGTGAGCGAGAGAGTGAGACGAGAGTGAGCGAGAGAGTGAGAGAGCGAGAGAGCGCGAGAGAGTGAGAGAGAGAGAGAGCGCAAGTGAGCGAGAGAGTGAGAGAGCGAGAGAGAGAGCGAGAGAGAGTGAGAGCGAGAGAGTGAGCGAGAGAGCGAGAGAGAGAGTGAGAGAGCGAGAGAGCGCGAGAGAGAGTGAGAGAGAGCGAGAGAGAGTGAGAGAGAGAGCGAGAGAGAGAGAGAGCGAGAGAGAGCGAGAGAGAGAGAGAGCGCGAGAGAGTGAGCGAGAGAGCGAGAGAGAGAGTGACACACGTGCACAGAGACACACACACACACACACAGATAGGTGCGCACACACAGACACGCGCACAGACCCGCGCACAGACACACGCACGCCGACACGCGCAGATACGCAGACAGACGCACCACGTACACAGTCACTACGCCTCACGCTGTCATCATTCTTGCTCAGCATCATCGTAATAATAATAATAATAATAATAATAGTAGTCCTGGCGTTTGACCCGGCGCCTCGTCGCGTCGTCGGGACGCCTCGAAGCGCTTCGCGGGACGGACCGCGAAGCGTAGTGACTGCGTGCGCTTTCGTGTGGGCGAAAAGTGTGTCGCGTTCCGCCAGGTCTCACCGGTGACTTCTTCTTCTTCTTCTTCCCTCCCCCCCCCCACCACCACTCCGTACCCGCACCCCAAAACCTCCCCACTACCCCAAACACCCCCACCCCACCCCCACCCCACCGGCCCTCTCTCCCCCCCCCCCTCTCCTCACTCACTCTTCCCAGGAAGCGATCAGCGCAGAGGATTTGGAAGTCTTCGCCAAGGAACTGAAGCAGAAGAGGATCACGATGGGGTTCACGCAAGCCGAGGTGGGCCTGGCCTTGGGGGCCTTGTACGGTAAGCGCGGAGGTGTTAACGTTTAACCGCGGGACCCCCCACCCCACCCCACCCCACCCGCCCACCGGGCTGCGTAAATGTCTGACGGCGAGTTACGCCCGCCAAACGCACAGTCACTTTGCGGTCGACTCTCCGAGGCTCTTCGAGACGTCCTCATCGTCATCGTCGTCGTCGCAATAATAATAATAATTATTATTATTATTATTATTAGAGCTGACGTTCGAGGAGAAAGCTTCCGAGTTCAGTCTCGAGAGGTGAATTAAGTGAACGGTGACGGTGGGAGGGGGGAGGCGGGTGGGGGGAGGCGGGTGGGGGTGGGAGGAAGAGAGAGAGAGAGAGAGCGAGAGAGTTAGGTGCTGTTAATGTCTCCTGGGCTTTGCGTGCGGCGTTAATGTTCCAGTTCCACACCTATTGTGTCGGCACACTGGGCGGAAGTGGTTCCCATTTGCTCCGGCTCTTGGGTTGCATTCAGCCTCCAAACTGCGTCCACCCCCCCCTTTGAATGCGGCTTCCCCCACCCCCCCCCCACCCGTCCCCCACCCGTCCCCCACCCGCCCACCCCCCACCCACCACATTCCTCTCCTCGTCCTCCCCCTCCGGTGCGCTTTGAGGGCCCAAATTCCTTCCGAGGGGACTGTTATAATAATAATATTATTACATTACACGGAATACTGTTATTATTATTACGTGTAACATAATGTGATGTAATTACATATATTATTTACATATACATTATATGTATAGAAATATATATAGAAATACAATTATATATAAATGATTTATGTATAAATGATATATATATATAAATACATATTATATATATTATATACATATTCTTTATATATAATGATATATGTATTCTTTATATATAATGATATATATATTCTTTATATATAATGATATATATATATAATTGTATATCTAATTATATATAAATATATAATTATATATAAATATATGTATAATTATATATATAATTATATACACTTAAATATAATAATAATAATAATCCTATTATTCTTATTTATTATGATTATTATCCTCCAAGGAGGGGTGGGGTGGGGGGGGTGGGGGTCCCGCGGCGCGCGTTTAGCCCGTGCCAAACCTTCTCGCTGTTTCTCCTCCCAACCCCTCTCCCCCTCGACCCTCGCTCTCCCTCTCCCCACCCCCACCCCACCTCCCCGTCCCCCCCCAGGGAAGATGTTCAGCCAGACCACCATTTGCCGGTTCGAGGCCATTCAGCTCAGCTTCAAGAACATGTGCAAACTGAAGCCCCTACTCCAGCGCTGGCTGCTGGACGCCAAGGACACCGATAACCTCCAGGAGGTGAGCTGACGGGTTGGGTGGGTGGGGGGGGGGGGGGGGGGGGGGTCGGGGGGCGTTGGAGAGAGCCTGGGCTTGCGTGCGTGTGTGTGCGTGCGCGCGCGCGCCTCCGTGTGAGTGGCGAGCGTCCGTGTGAGTGGTGCGCGTCCGTGAGTGTGTGCGCGTCCGTGTGAGCGTGCGTGTCTGTGAGAGTGTGCGCGTCCGTGTGAGTGGTGAGCGTCCGTGTGAGTGGTGCGCGTCCGTGTGAGCGTGCGCGTCCGTGAGAGCGCGCGCGTCCGTGAGTGGTGTGCGTCTGGCTGTGTTTGTGGAACGTCCCCACCCAACATGACATGCCCCTACACAAGTGTGCGTGGGTGTGCGGGTGCGTGGGTGCGTGCGTGCGTCTTGAGTGTCTGAGTGCGTGCGTGCGCGTGTCTGCGCGCGCGTCTGCCTGCGCGTGAATGTCTGTCCGTGTCCGTCTGTCCACGTGTGTGTCTGCGTGTGAGCGCGCCAGTCTGTGTCTGTGTGTCCGCGTCGGTCCGAGTGCGCGAGTGTCTGTCTGCGCTCGGGTCTGTGCGCGCGTGCGTCTGACCCGAGTGCGTGTGCGCGTGCGTGTTCTGCGTGTGTCCCGTGTTCTAACAGCTCTTCGCTCTGCATTGCCCAGCTCTGTAACATGGAACAAATGTTGGCCCAGGTCTGCAAACGCAAGAGACGGACGAGCATCGAGAACGTCGCCAAGGACCGGCTGGAGACCTTCTACACCCGGTGCTCCAAGCCGTCCACGCAGGAGATCTCGCACATCGCCGATCATCTCAACCTCCAGAAGGACGTGAGTGGAGGCCGGGGTGGGGGGGGGGACCGGGTGGGGGGGGGACCGGGGTGGGGGGGGGGGCCGGGGTGGGGGGGGGACCGGGTGGGGGGGGCGGGGTGGTGGGAGGGGCCGGTGGGGGACCGGGGGAGGGGGGGGACCGGGGTGGGGGGACCGGGCGGGTGGGGGGACCGGGTGGGGGACTGGGGTGGGGGGGCGCGTACGGGCTGGCGTTCCTACACTTGCGCGCGCCCGCGCGCTTGTGTCTGGCTCGGTCGCTGTGTGTGTGTGTCTGGATCGGTCGCTGTGTATGTGCGTGTGTCGGTCTGGCTCAGTCGCTGTGTGTGTGTGTGTGTGTGTGCGTGTGTCAGTCTGGCTCGGCCGCTGTGTGTGTGTGTGTGTGCGTGTGTCAGTCTGGCTCGGCCGCTGTGCGTGTGTGCGTGTGTCAGTCTGGCTCGGTCGCTGTGTGTGTGTGTGTGCGTGTGTCAGTCTGGCTCGGTCGCTGTGTGTGTGTGTGTGCGTGTGTCAGTCTGGCTCGGTCGCTGTGTATGTGCGTGTGTCGGTCTGGCTCAGTCGCTGTGCGTGTGTGTGTGTGTGTGTGTCTGGCTCGGCCGCTGTGCGTGTGTGTGTGTGTGTGTGTCTGGCTCGGTCGCTGTGTGTGTGTGTGTGTGTGTGTGAGTCTGGCTCGGTCGCTGTGTGTGTGTGTGTGTGTGCGTCAGTCTGGCTCAGTCGCTGTGTGTATGCGCGTGTGTGTGTGTGTCAGTCAGCCCGGCTCAGTCGCATACACACACACACGCACGCGCGCGCGCGCATACACACACACACGCGCACACATACACGCGCTCACACACAGTTAAAGACACCCTACCGATCCGCCGCTGCCGCCGCCGCCGTTGTTGCTGTGGTTGTTGTTGTTGTTGTTGTTGTTGTTGGTGGTGGTGGTGGTGGTGGTGGTGGTGACTCCTGTCCCGTGTGGCTCACAGGTGGTCCGCGTGTGGTTCTGCAATCGCCGTCAGAAGGGCAAGCGGATGGCTTTCCCGTTCGCGGAGGACTACGACCAGCCGGGACTGTACGGGTTGCCCCCCGGCCCCCCCACCTCCTCCTCCTCCTCTTCCTCCTCTTCTTCCTCCTGCTCCTCCTCCTCCTCCTCCTCCCTCCTGCTGGGAGCCGTCGGCACGATGGCTCACCCCCCTCAGCCCTACGGTTCCCCGGCCCCCGAGGGGTCGGCGCCCGGTCTGTACCCTCTTCACTACCGGGAGCTGAGCTCCTTCCACCAGGCCCTGCCGTCTCTCGCCCCAGCCAGGCCGACGCACTCCAGCTGAGACCCCTTTTCGGGGGGGGGGGGGGCGCGGGGAGGGTGGAGAGGGGGGGAAGTGGGGGCCGATACGCCCTCCGAAAAAAAAAAAGAGTTCCCGAATCCGTCGCTCAATCCGCGACTTGTTTCGTTGGGCGCCAATGGCCGTCGGGTCTCCCCCCGACCCCCCCACCCCCCCGTTCTACGAAACGCACGGTCACTACGCTTTGCGGCGTATCCCGTGACGTCTCGACGGCTTTATCTGGAGAGGGAGGGAGGGGTGGGGGGGGGGGGGAGAGAGAGAGGACCCGGGTTCGATTCCCGGTCGGGTCGGGTCGGGTCGGGGCGAAGCACTGGGCAAGTTTCCTTACTCCCCGCGCGCACGCACACGCACGCACGCACACGCGCGCGCACGCACACGCCCGTTTGCCCAGCAGTACGTCAGGAACCCGCTCGTCGGTCGACGGGCGGATCGCTTTCGCGGCGGTACTCACCCCCTCCCAACCCAAACAATACTAATAATTAATAATAATAATGATAATAATAATAATGCGGTCACTCGAGCCGCGGCCGATGGCGGGGACCTCGCCGGGCGCAGTCTGCCCGCAAAGATACGCAGGACGCTCCCGCTCTCCCAGCGGGTCCCGCGAAGCGCTGCGAGACGTCTCGAAGGCGCCACCGGGCGCCGGGTCAAATGCAAGGATTATTATTATTATTATTATTATTAATAACCGCAGAGCTCAATGCTCCCTCACGGGTTCTTCCTCGCTCGCGTCTCGCTCGGAGCGCCGATGCGGATTTCCCCCGTGAGTCGGGACCCCCAGCGATTGCTGCCGAGTATCGGGGGCTCTCCCGGTGGGGGGGAGAGGCGGTGGGGGGGTGAGGGGGGAGAGGATTGAAGGGTTACAGCGCTCCCTTGTGCCGGAGAAGCATCGCTGCACCCGCGTGAAATGTTATAACGGGGTGGGGGGGGGGGTGGGGGGAGGTTTGGGGTTAAATAAATCGCCGCCCCCACCCCCCCGTCCCGTCCCGTCCCGCCCGCGCTTTACGGCGCACCCCGCGAAGGGCTTCCAGTGGTCTCACGGGCGCCGCCCGCGAGGGCCCCGCATCGAATGCGAAGATTATTATCATCAACAATAATATTATCGGCAAACGTGAATTATTATTAATATTAATAATAACGATAACGCCGGTAACTCGGTCTGCACCTCGGTGGGTCAGCGAGATTTTACCCCCCCCCCCCCCCGGCGGCGCCGCGGGACGCGTGAACGCGTTCCCACGTTAAATCTCACGGGGAAAGGACGGCGGGCGACGTCGGGTCGGCGTCAAAGGAGGGAAGGGGGTGGGCGGAGGCGGGAGGGGGGTGGGTCGGGGTGGGGTTGGAGCGAAAGGGCGCGCGAAACAACTGGCAGCGTATTCCACGGAGCGCTCCGAGACGTCTCGACCTCACGCGAGGGTTTACTGTTGAAACACAAGGAGCAAAAGCAAAAAAAAAAAAAAAAAAAAAATTCCTTTTTTGGCAGTGCCGATTTATTTGATTCCGGGCGGTAAACAGAGAGAAATGGTCCGGTTGCCGACCGGGCGCGATCAAACCTTCGGAAATTTGCGTTCGGGAGGCGTTTCGACCGAGCGGGAGACGGCGAGAGCGCGCGAGAGAGAGAGAGAGAGCGCGTGAAAGAGAGAGAGAGAGAAATCCTTTTTGCCGTTCACCGAAAAAAAACGCCGCGTTATTTTCACTGCGGATTGCGCCGATTTTTTTTTTTTTTTCGCTTGATGCGTATATATACATATATATATATATACGGTACACGGTATACATTGTAGAAAAGAATTCCTTCGCAACCTGATCGTACGGTCCAGCCCCCGCCTGCCCTGTCCGCGCAAACGCGAACCGATTCCGTCTCGTGCGCGCGCCGGCGCGCCGGCGACCCGCGGGGAAACAAACCGGGTTGGATAAGTGCATTCGGACCGGCAGACGCGTAAAATAAAAGCACTGTGTACTGACGCGGTGTGGACCGAGCGCAGAACAGTTTGCGGGTGGGTCGCCGACGCGCGGGCCTCCCCCCCCCGCCACCCCCCGGCGTTTGTTTTGCCATCGACGCGGCCCCCGCGTGACGTTGCCGCGGTGCCTTATTTGGAGGGAAGCGAGAAATATTACCCCCCCCCCCCCCCCCCCACCCAGAACATCGATCGGATCGAGTGCGTTCGGAGACGGAAGGGCGAGGGAGGGTGGGCTGTTTTGCTCAATAATAAATAATTTGGTAAAGACTACGATTAAGTGCTTCGGATTATTTTTTTTTTGGGGGGGGGGGGGCGGGAATCGGCGTCTCGTTTGCCCGCACCCACCCCCCGTCCCCCCACGTCCCTCCCCCACCGCCACCCCCCACAACAAACCAGCCAGACTGCAGCGCCGGGGGAGGAACCCCCGCCTTTGCGGTCGGTGAAACCGCTCGCGCGCTCGCTCGCTCGCTCGACAGCTGAAGCTTTCGCCGGCGGCGTACACAGTCACTACACTTGACAGAAAACCCCTGCCGCTCTTTGCATGATAGGTGCTATTGCATTACTGCCGTACGATTGCCCGCCCCCCCCCGCCAGAAGAGGCAAAGGAAAACGGGAAATGATTCAATTCGTCGCCGTCGTCATCATCGGAAAATGGTCGGAATTTTCCACGAAGGAAAAGACGGACGTGAGGACGGACGCGAGGTCGGAATTCCGACGGGGTCTCAAGCCGGCGAGGCAGAGCGTTAACATTTTAAGACCCGGGTGTCGATATTTTTAACGTCTTAAGAGGGAGAATCGCGGCGGATTTTAAACCCGATCTGAAATTGCAGCGCTTAAAAAGATCTTTTTCCCCCCAAAAAAATATTAATTGAGGAATCGCAGAAGGAGGCCATTCGGCCGCCCCTACTGCGCCCGCTCTTTGAAAGAGCTGCCGACCGGTCCCACTCCCCCCACTCTCACCCCGTAGCCCTACACAACTTTCCTTTTTAAGTACCGGTCCAATTTTCTTTTGGAAGTCAGCGGATCTGCCCCCACCAGCCGTTCAGACGGTGCGATCCAGACCGTTAACAACTCTCTGTCTGTCTGCGCGTGTGTAAAAAAAAAAAACACGTCTCCTCCTCTCCCCTCTGGTTCTTTTGCCAATTATCTGAACTCCGGCCCTGCCCGCCCGCCCTCCGGGGGAAACCGATTCTCCCCGTTTACTCTCATCGAATCCCCGCGAGATTCCCATCCAGTTCCGCAGATTCTCTCAGTGCTTTTTGAAACCGGGACAGAGGGAACCGCCTTCGAATCCAAAACGTGTCGCGTTTTAACCACCGAGCGACCCGTGGAGTCGGAACGCGGGCACGGGGCCCCGTTAGGGCGAACAGGTACAGCCCCCGGAAGCCTGTCCCGGCATTCCGCAAGCGCGTCGCCGCTCCCGTCGGGACGAACGGCCCCCGTAAAGTTTCCGCGCGGAAGGAAGAGTCCTGATAAGCTCGCGCTCGGTCGGGCCCGACGGGAGGCGTCCGCTTGTGTGTGTGTGTGTGTGTGCGTGCGTGTGTGTGGGATGGAGGGGTGGGGGAAGAGGGTTCGAGTCCTCCGGCCTCGCGCCCGGTCACCGCTACGTGCAGCCGCAGTGGAATTCGGCCGAGGCCTCTTTCACGGCCGTGTAGTTGCAGCCGGCGCAGGCCACGTGATACCAGGAGTCGCAGTCGTCGCACTGCACCCACTCCACGGTGTCCTCCTGCGGCAGCTGGCACCGCTCGGCGGCGCACTGCTCCACCGTGTAGAGGGTGCGCGTGAAGACCTTGCACATGACCTTGGGGCCCAGAGAGATGTCGCCCAGCGGGTGCTTGCGAGGCCGTCCCCGCTTCTTGCTGCAATCACAGGGAGAAAAGGTGAGCTGTTTCAGCTCGTGCTGAACGGTGGGATAATAATAATAACAACAACAACAACAACAAGCTTTCATTCATAGAGCGCCTTTCACGTCGGGAGGACGTCCCGAGGCGCTGGACAGTCGGGTCGGGACCCGAGCATTGGGGCGGGGGAAATGGTCAGGGTGAGGGGAGGGAGCGAGGAAGGGGGGAGATGGTCAGGGTGAGGGGAGGGAAGGGAGGGAGCGAGGAGGGGGGGAGATGGTCAGGGTGAGGGGAGGGAAGGGAGGGAGCGAGGAAGGGGGGAGATGGTCAGGGTGAGGGGAGGGAAGGGAGGGAGCGAGGAAGGGGGGAGATGGTCAGGGTGAGGGGAGGGAAGGGAGGGAGGGAGCGAGGAGGGGGTAGAGAGTCGAGAGCGGAGCTGAAGGCTGAAGGTCGAAGAGAAAGGTCTTGAGACCGGCCTTGAAGGAGGAAAGGGAGGAAGCGGCGAAGGCACTGGGGGATGGAGTTCCAGAGCCTCGGGGCTGAGAGGCTGAAGGCCCGACCACCGATGGTCGGGCGGTTGGGGCGGGGGACCCGGAGCAATAATAATAATAATAATAATCATAACGATGCTCCTCGTGTTTGACACAGCCCCTGTCGAGACGTCTCAAAGCGCTGCACGGAATACGCCGCCAAGCGAATTCGTCGACTGTACCTGTTTGCGGGTGAAACGCGGCCGCCGATCGCGCACAGCGAGCGACAGCCCGCAGGCAGCCGTGGATTGAGTGACCAATCTATCATCGTTATTATTATTTTTCTTTGCGGAGGGATCGTCACCCCCGGAAAAGCCCCGGATCCGCCAATCGACCGACAAGCGGGTTCCCGCTCGCTGGGCAGACAGAGGCGCGCGCGCGCGGCGTGGAAACTTGCCCGACCTTTCGCCCCGCTGGGAACCGAACCCGTGTCTCTCGCTCGCCAGGCGGGCGCTCTCACCGCCGAGCTGCAGGACTCCAATTGCGGTGCTTACGCAAAAAAAAAAAAAAAAAAGCTAAGGTGACTTCTCAGGAGAGTTCAAAGTCGAAAACGAGAGTCTGAAAGACGGGCAATTCACGGAAACGGTAGTTTAAATGGAAGCGTTCGGGTGATAAGGCGCTCTATCAACGGCAAGAATTTTTATTATTACTATTATTATAGGCTCTAAAAGATTCCAAAGGTGAACGTGATAACAAGCGGCCGAGGAGCCGCAGTGCTTCCTGAAATACTCCCCAGTAATTTGAGAAAATAGGGACTTCTTGCGAACGCAGAGATCGAAACCGATCGTCCCCTGCGGATTTGTCCGTGGGGACGCTGCCGCTGCGCGCAGTCGGCTGCCGCGTTTCGCCCACAGCATACACGGCCAGTTCGATTTCCCGTGTAACCTGTCGGGCGCTTTGCAACGCCTCGACGGCGTGATGAGGCGCTGTATCGAAGGCAAGGAGTATGACTGCAATTGAGACAACGTGCATCAGGTTAAGCGCTTTGAGAAGTCGCCACAACGGGATAAGGATATTATTATCATCATTATTTATTGTGATACTATCGGGCGCCAATCCAGGACTGTCAAATGCAAATGCGAGTAAGTGACCATAAGAACAGGAAGGTCTTCAGTCATGATCTAAAAGAGGGGGAAGGAGGGGGCAAAGCAGCAGGATTGTGGGAGAGAGTACCGGAGTTTCGGGGCGCAGTGCGACACAAAGCGCGGCCGGTGATGGTGGAGCGGAGGGCAAGAGGGGACAGGCGGGAGGCGGGAGGCGGAGGGCGGTGGAACGTCTGAAAAAGCTTCACGGGACGTACTGGAGAGCGGATTGACCGGGCGTTTTGTGGGCAAAACTCGGCAGCCGGTTGCGGTCGGCAGGTCAGAGAGGTGCCCGGGTGGGGGGGGGTGGGGTGGGGGTGGGGGTGGGGGGTCGCGAAGGGACTCGCAGAACGAGTGAGAGGATCTCGAAATGACGTACGAGACAACACGGTTAAAAAAAAAAAAAGTTTGCAACGAAACCTCGGTGACTGACACTTACCCGGTCGGTGTGATGTGTGTGTTCCCGGTCGAAAGTCTGACGAGCAGTTTGTTGTCGTTGCTGTTGCTGTTGTGTTTGCTGCGCTCGTCGGGCTCGGACTTGCGCCTCTTGAGGGGGGGCTCGAGCCCCGGCGGCTCGCCCCCCTCCTCCCCCAAAGTCAACTGCCGATACAGCTG